AATCATTGGTTGAAACGAAATCGAGAGTATTTGAGTTATTTGTTTCTATAGAATAGATTGTTTTTCGAGCAGCGTGACATGGGGCTATTAAATCATTGGTTGAAACGAAATCGCGGATATTTAAGCTATTTGTTTCTATAGAATAGATTTTTTTTTGAGCAGCGGGACATGGGAACATTGAATCATTGGTTGAAACGAAATTGAGGATATTTGAGCTATTTGTTTCTATAGAATAGATTTTTTTTTTCGAGCAGCGGGACATGGGGACATTGAATCATTGGTTGAAACGAAATCGAGGATATTTGAGCTATTTGTTTCTATAGAATAGATTTTTTTTGAGCAGCGGGACATGGGGATATTGAATCATTGGTTGAAATGAAATCGAGAGTATTTGAGCTATTTGTTTTTATAAGATAGGTTTTTTTTCGATGCTCGTGATATGGGAGGATTGAATGATTGGTTAAATGTTTAGTGTTAGCAAATTCGTTGTTAAAAAATTGAAACGGAATGATTCTTGCTATTTAGAATAGCAGCCGATCTGATGTTGAATTGATTAAGTAATTATTGGACTATAAACAGATTGTTGATTATCTATTCGATAGACTTATTGTGAAAAAGTTTATCAATGTAAGATTGCAGTTTTGAATTAAGAATGTTCACTTTTTTGTAAGAGATTTACATGAAAAATAAATTTATGCAATTAAAAGCAAACAGATATAGAATGTGTTTCTTGATTGAATGTGCCATAGCAACAAACATCCATCGATTAATTATAAGGAGATGGATAAAATTCATAAAATTCCAATACCCACTAAAAAGAATGGTTAAAAATAAAAATGTTCTATATGTAAATATGTTAAAATAAATCATAGAAGTGCGACCAATCATTTAGAATCGCTAAAATTACAAAAGTTGAATACAATAGTAAACAAACATTAATTATCGTGTGACTCATAGTATTAACATGTATTCCAAACTCAACTGAATTCCCATGTCAACTGTGACATATATTTCGCATATATCTCAGTGTAGATAAATGATAAAATCTTGAATTTTTTAAAAAAGAAGTGCTGTAAAAAGTTCTACAAAAATATCTGAACAAATACTTACTGACTTGTTCTAATGGTCTACTTCATACTCAAAATGAACAACATACATAATAGTTCTCCTTCTTATCGTATTGAGTATAATAAAAAATATTTCGAAGACTTTTTCGTTGTACAGTTGAAGTCTGTTTGCAGAGATTTTGTAGAGCTTTCCATGATGCATTTTTTTTAAAAATTCAAGATTTTATGTTTTTTACAAGCTGAGATATATGCAAAATAAAAGTCTTCGAAAAATTTTTTTATTATATTCAATACGATAAGAAGTAGAACTATTATGTAAGTTGTTCATTTTGAGTATGAAGTAGACCATTAGAACAAGTCAGTAAGTATTTGTTCAGATATTTTTGCAGAACTTTTTACAGCACATCTTTTTAAGGCCTCTCCGCCCCCCCCCCCTCCAAAAAATCGATTTTCGTCAAAAAAATGGATTTTGAGATAAACACATGGGCATGATGCTTGAGTTGTCTACTTTACAAATCTATACAGATATTATCGAATCTCTACGTTTTTTATGGGATTTCCGTAAAAAAACTTCAGTTAGTTGCAACTATTATTACTTATATAGACCCAAAAAAATGTCTAGTTGATTTTTTCATTATATCAATAGCGACCGACAGGTGGCGCTATCTATCGCGGGATACGTCGCGACAATCATAGTGCAATGCACTGTGACGTGCACCTACCATTGGTATGCAATTCTTGCTTTTTTATATTGGTTACAGGTAATATTCACAAAAATAACTTGTTTATCGTTTTTCTCAAAACCGAATTTTTTACAAAATATCAATCTCTGAACAAATTTTTCTTCACTATAGTTTATTCTATTAAACTGCGGTTTTTTTTATTTGATAGATAGATATACCCTCCTTGAGATGACGAGAAGGAATTTTTTATTTGACTCTCAATCTATGAGGAATCAGATATTTTATGAAAAATCCTGCATAGGGTTTTCAGAACTTCAAAGTTTTGTAGATCCCATCAAAGAAAAAAAATCAAAATTAAAAAAATCCTTCCCCTCATCTGAAGCACCAAGGAGTTCTCTTTCAAATGAGACTAGCCCGAGCGCTCCATCTCGAAGTGTATTGAAAAAATCTTTGTACGCGTGGGACCCCCATTTTGCCCCTTGGTACCTGTATATCTGTCGAACGGAAAGAGCTAGAACCATGGAAATTTTTTTACACTTGTACCTTTATGGCTTGAGCATCTGTAGAAAGTTTCATGATGATTCCATGCACCGTGTTGAAAATCGATTTTGGAGGGGGGGAGAGGCCTTAAAAAATTCAAGATTTTATCATTTATCAACACTGAGATATATGCGAAATATATTTTACATCATGTTGGTCGATTTCGAAAAATTCATCATTACATTATCATGTTTATATTTTTATTAGTATAAGAGAAGATGCTATTCAATAATATATCATTTGAAAAGTCGTCACGAATGCTTCAAGCTGATATAGAAACATAATGGTTAAACATTGTTCTCTGTGTCCATATAAACCAATTTTGTCGCGTCTCAAGACTTATGAGACACCCTGTATGGTCAACTGGTGTGTATACTCAGTTTGGGATCCGGAGAAGTCGAAAAACAGAACGATATAACTTTAAAAGTTTGAATTTAGCCTTGAGAAACGAAATAAGTAAAATTCCACACGAACGAGTACTGCGACGAACGAAAGAATAAAAAGTACTATGACACTAAGTAATACGAAGCACTGTGCCAATATAAGTAATAAAAATTACTATGAAAGTGTAAGTAACGCAAACACAGCACCTACGTTTTGCTTACTTGATTTGCACTATTTCTTAACAAAAAATGAAATTACCAACCATGCTCGTCGCTTTTATACCTTCAGCTCTTGCGTCTCTCTTGCTCTTATTTTCTCTCGTTTTCTCGCTCTATAATTTTGAGTCTATCGTCTCCTAATTTCTCTCTCTCTCTGACTCTCTTATTCTTTCACTCCTCTCTCCTATTTCCTTTCTCTCACTCCGCTATCTATGTCTTTTTTTCCTCGCTCTCTGATTTTTCTCTCACTTTCTCTGCCTGATTTTTTTTTCTGTCTAATCTTGAATAGACCAATCAAAATACGACGCTTTTAGAATGAGTCTTCTGCCCACTGCAGTACGATGCGCTAAAGATCACGAAAAATACTCATACTCTTCTATCATGCAGAGCTCGACATTGTACAATTTGAACGACAATGTATAATTGGAACCAAATCTTGACTTTGGCTTTTCAGGCTATTTTGTACATGAAAGCAGCCAAAATTTGAAGTATACTTTATAACTACCAAAAACTTTTGGCTACCGCTTTTTTTGTCTACTTTTATATAACATTAGCCAAAATTTGAATTATAATTTATAAATGGGATAAAATTTTCGCTTTGCTTTTTTCGGCTAGTTTTATAAAAATTCACCAAAACTTGGGTTAAGATTTATAACTACGATAGAATTCTCGCTTGTACTTTTCGGGCGACTTTGGTATGAAAACTGACAAAATTTGAATTATGATCTATAAATGGGATCAAATTTTGGGTTTGGTCTTTTAGGCTAGTTTAATATAGCAATAGCCAAAATTTTAATTATAATTTGTAAATGGAATAAAATCTTCGCTTTGGTTTTTTGGGATAGTCTTATGAGTGTTCCCCAAAATTTGAGTTAAGATTTATAAATGCAATGGTCGATTTTCAAGACAATTGGTTTTGAGCCATGAAAAACCTGATTATATCGATTCATAGAGCTCATCGAGTTCTACTTGGAACAAGAAGAGGAAAATTGAAACAAGTTCTAGAGCTAATTCGGGGTGGATATAGTCGAACCTGGTGATGAATTCACGTACCTCAACCTTTGAAATTAATAAAGGTGGACCGATAAAAAGTGAAGGACCATACTGTAAAAATAATGTCGATTTGATATTTAATATAACATAGTTGATTTATAAGTTCTTTCTCCCAAAATCAGAAGAAACCAACTTCTATCATTGCTGGTTGGACAGCATTTTTTTACATGCTACAAAATCTTATAACTCTTAAAATTATTAAAGGTGCGCGAAATTAAAAGCCAACGATCATACTCTAAAGATTCTGTCCATTTCATCCATAGGCTATGGGTATGACTGTAGATGTGGGATGCGGCTATCGGTGAGAAGCGGACAAACATCAACACTCACATCTAAACATAAGGAGTCCAACGGCTAATAGTGCAACATAGCTGACACTCCTGGGGCAATAATTTCATGACATGGTATGTTCTTATTTCCAGGAAATTCAAATAAAACGACTATGAGAAAAATTTGAAGGAAATTCAAATTAGTACTTTGACAAATAGGCACAGAAACAAATTTTAAAATAAATAATATATAGTAACGAAGTCTATGTTTGTAGGATTGGGATCGGTTATGAAATTCATTTTAATATGAAAAGTTTACACTCATGTAGCGTATATTTTTGAAGCTGGGTTGGGTTGGGTCAGAAAATTCATTTTTATACGGCAGATTGATAGTGATGGATTGTATATTTTTGGGGCTGAGCCAGATCAGGAAATTCATTTTAATGTGAAAAGTTTATAGGAATGAAGTTTTTATTTTTGGGACATGGCTGGGTTAGGTTGGGTCAGGAAATTCATTTTAATGTGAAAAGTATATAGGGATATAGTGTATATCAGGCCTCGAAATGGGCCCCCTGGTCCAGCCTGATCCGACCCGATCCAGAAAGATTTTCATTCCGAACCAGGCGAACCTCATCAGCGAAGGCCGGTGGACCGGGAGACCTAAAATTCTGTGGGGTCGCCCGGCCTGAACTTTATTTCTTTTTTGTAAGGAAGATTTCTCAAGTAAGAAGAATCTAATTCTAATCAACTTTCTTCTAACTAATAATCGATTAAAATTAAATTATTTGACTTTTAATCGATTTATATGACGGTGGTCGTAAGACAGGTTTTGCACAAGTTTTAAGTTAGAAACTCGAATTTTTGGTTATTTTTCGGACTCATCAGCTCAGCAAATCGGACGTATCACACTAGATAAGATATTGATACACATACCAGGCATTGAAATAGGATATCAATTAATATCGATTCATGTAAAAAAAAAATTTTCATAAATTAGCTTAGAATCGATTATTTTATGAATAGGTATCCATTAAAATGGTATTATTTGAATCCGATTAAAACCTGACTTGCCAGCTGTTAAGACAGATTCCATTTGATTTTCATCTGTTTTAATCAATTTCTAAACACCAATTTTAATCGATAAGATTTTATTAATCGATTGGAAAGATTGAAATCAATTGAAATCTATATTGACAGCTGAGAAATCGAACTTCAGTGAGAATTAAATAGCACCGTTTCAATCGATTTTAAATACAAAATAATCGATTTAATTCTGATTTGTCGTCAAAATTTTCCACATCAGTTATATACACCTTGCAACCGTTGACAATCATGAAGCTTTATTGTGCGAACATTTTCAAAATTTTACTTAGGCAATAAATGAACACAGACCATTTCTTCAATTCGATGGCACTCCTCATCCAAATAGTAGTGTCAAACTTGAAAGTTGAATTCAAGTATTCTACTGTTAGTTCAACTATTCACGCATTCAACTATTCAAGTATTCAACTATTCGACTATTCAACTATTCAACTATTCAACTATTCAGGTATTCAACTATTCAAGCATTCAACTATTCAACTATTAAAGTATTCTACTATACAAGTATCCTACTATTCAAGCATTCAACTATTCAACTATTCAACTATTCGAGTATTCAAGTATTCAAGCATTCAACTATTCAACTATTCAACTATTCGAGTATTCAAGTATTCAACTATTCAACTATTCAAGTATTCAAGCATTCAAGTATTCAACTATTCATCCCAGGTCAAACAAACACAGTCGTTTACGACCGTATACGGAGAAATACGACGAATTACGTGTGATCGTATTACGATCGCATATCTCCGTGTTGTATACTGAGAAATACGGCGATATACGGACAAAAAAAACGGTCGTTTACTGTCTCCGTAAACGGAGACCGTATACGATATCCGTTTTGATCCGTTTTTCTCCGTATACGGTTACGGAGATATACGATCGTAATACGATCACATCTATTACGGCAAAACACGGTCGTAAACAACCGTATTTTCTCCGTATACGGTCGTATACCACCGTTTGCGGAGTCCGTAACGTTCGACCTGGGCAAGTATTCAACTATTCAAGCATTCAACTATTCAAGCATTCAAGCATTCAACTATTCAAGCATTCAACTATTCGAGTATTCAACTATTCAACTATTCAGGTATTCAACTATTCAAGTATTGAAGTATTCAACTATCAACTATTCGAGTATTCAAGTATTCAACTATTGAAGCATTCAACTATTGAAGTATTCAACTATTGAAGTATACAACTATTGAAGTATTCAACTATTCAAGTATTCAACTATTCGAGTATTCAAGTATTCAACTATTCAAGTATTGAAGTATTGAAGTATTCAACTATCAACTATTCGAGTATTC